GTCGCTGCCCCGCGCCTGGCGCAGGAGCGCGTTCGCCGCGGTACGGTGTCCCGCCGGCGGCCGCGTCGCCGCCGCTCCCTGGGCGCTTCGCTCGGTGCCCTGTGCTGCGAGCGGGTGCGCACGGAGGCGGGACGAGCTCCTGCCCGACCGGGTGGGGCTGGGGGAGCGGGGCGTTTTAAGGGTGGGGGGTTTTTTGGTCAACAAGCGGTGCGAGTAGGGGTCTCGTAGGGCACGAAATTTGATTGTGCTTTGGGCGGTGTGACCGAGCCCGGCTGAAACATGGAATCACAGGACGGTTTGGGTCGGAAGGGACCTTTAGAGGGCATCTAGTCCAACCCCCTGCCATGAGCAGAGACACCCTCCACTAGATCAGGCTGAAGAACCTTTTGAGGGGTTATGGTTCCTGTTAAGACCTTTTTATCTTGGGTCAAGAATCGCTCAAGCTGGTGTTTATACAGCATTTGGAGAAGGTGTAAAGCTTGCCAGGTACCTGCATTCATCGGAAGACACTGCCTGTGGATTACAAAAGACCGTTGATAAGTTATTTTGAAAAAGAACCATCCTATTAATAGATTGTTATTTCCACTGGTGAGGCCAGGCAGGAACGCAAGGCACATGGATAAAGAGCAAGATAAGTCTGGCTAGTGGCTGCTAGTGAGCAAGAGGTGACTCATGTTTGCAGAGACCTGCCCTGGTTTTAGTGTTTTCTCCTTGTATCCCCAGGCAGCAGTAAAGTGCTGAGCAGTTAAGGAGCTTGGCATGAGTGCCCTTGGGATGAGCTTGCCCATGCCTTCCTGTCCTGCTGTTTTGTGGAAGGGCAGAGAGCAGTTCAGAGCCAACTGTTGTCAACACCAAGGTTGCGTGTGAGTGCCCGGCGGCGAACAGCGTGTGATGGTTCTGCGCTGCCGAGGGGTGTGAGAGCATCTGCTCGCAATGTGGGAGCTCACCAAGCTGGGACGCAGCCAGCCTGCTCCACCAGGGTTGTGGGATCTCAGTGAAAGACAAACTGTGTGTTGTCTGTGTCTGAAACACACCTGAGGTTTCTTCCAGTGATCACAATACTCAGCTGTTTTATCTTTTTCTCTTTTCAGCAAAGAATTGAAATACACAAGCTTCGTCAAGGTGACAATTTGATTTTGGGATTCAGCATTGGAGGTGGCATTGATCAGGATCCTACTCAGAATCCTTTCTCTGAAGACAAGACCGACAAGGTCAGATGCTCTTTGTTTTCTGGAGCTGCTCTCTCTGCAAAAGCCTGAGCGAATCCAGCTCCGCCAGCAAGCTCAGCTCACTTGCATCTGTGTTCCGTCCTCTCGGAGCTGACTGCTGAGGTTGCTCTGTTGCCCTGTTGTCATTTGTTAACTAAGTTTGTTTTCAGTTAGCTCTCCACCTTTTCTGTTTTCCAACATTGCACAAACCTGTTTTTAACTAGAATCCTGTAATATCATGGGAGTATATTGTAGTATGTTCTATCTACTAGTGTGCTACAAAGTATTTTTGAATTGTCAGTAGAATGGCCCTTGAGTATTTAATGCTGCCATACTTAGTAAACAAACATTAATTTTTTTTCCAGGGTATCTATGTAACGAGGGTGACAGAAGGAGGCCCAGCGGAAGTTGCAGGACTTCAGATCGGAGATAAGATCATGCAGGTAAACACAAAGATAAGACTAGTACTCATGTACTACAGAGAAGTTTCTGTCTTCTGGGTACTTTCCAGGATGGTTTGTGGGGCTTACAAACAAACTGAGCTGTGGCATAATCATATCTACTACATGGTTGGGATAGAACAGTTATAGGACACCTGTGAGTCCATGCATGTCTCTCATTATATGTTGTTTCTTTTCCCTAGGTGAATGGCTGGGATATGACAATGGTGACCCATGACCAAGCTAGGAAGAGGCTGACGAAAAGGAATGAAGAAGTGGTACGGCTGCTGGTGACCAGGCAATCTCTGCAGAAGGCTGTGCAACAATCCATGATGTCCTAATCAATCATCAAATTGGGGAAGGGTTGGGGAGGGAGATATATAGACTGATATCAAGCAAGGAAGCAAATGAACCTGAACAGGTTGTCTGGAAGGAGTGCATGTTCCTAACTGTGGTAAACACTACTTTTTTTTTTTTTCTCCTTTCTCTGGTGTAACTGGCAGTAGTAAAACTAGTCCCCTCAGCAAGAGTGCTTCTCTAAAGTCTTCCCTGCAGGTACATGGTAAGACTTTATTGTAGTCATGGCTTTCAGGAGGACAGGACAAATCCTGATTATTTAAGGAAGCAACTGGAGAAAGCTTAACTTTGACAGGATTCTTTGGTAGAACAAAAGCTTCCTATTTTAAGAGGAAATATGGTTTCTGCTATGGAAGATAAGAGGATTTGCTGTGCTTAAGCTCGTAGAAGTGAGCAGTCCTGTCCCCTCATGTTATCAGATTAAAATACCAGAATTAAGAGTTGCACGCTGCTGTGGGGAGGAGCACTGTACTAATCTCACATTGTGTGCTAGCTAGATGGAATATGCTGAAAGGTTTGGGGCATTACAGTTTACTGCAAAGATTCCCTGTACAAAGCAACCACTTCAGACAAGAAACAAGCAAAAAACAAGTAAGTAACACAGAAGCGTTAGATTAATGCCTGTAAAGTACACTAAAAGTTCATAGACACTACCTTAATTTTCCTGTTTCCAAGTAATTTGTAGCATCAAATGAATCAGGTTTTAATGAAAGGAGTATGGAGCAGGAAAGAAAATGCTGTTGCTGAACTTACCAAAAGAGCTGCTCGTCGCTGTAGAGCCTTCAGTTCTTCATTCCATTTATATCAGACTTGCAATGGGAGGGGTGGATTTTGGTCTGCCTTCTGGAAGACTTTGCTTAAGTCACTGATTGATTGGACGGAAAAGGTGAATATGCCAGTAATTTCCAAAAGTGCCTCTTGACCAAATTTAAACTTCTGGTAAGATACTAAGTTGTTTAAATCAACATGCCACAGGATTTAAGATTCTTGCTGCAATGCTGAGTTAATTATCTAGCATCCTAGTGGTTTGTTAAGCAGCTAGCTTTACCGTTATCCAAAAACTGGAGCTCTTAATTCCCTTCAGTTGATTTCTATGTATCTATATGTTCCTTAAGCTGTCTTCAGGTAAGCTGTTGTAAATAGAACACGAGGAGGTGGCAGACTAACTTATTCAGTACGTTACTGCTGTGCCATGTACGTATGTTGTGATTAATGCATCTCAGACTGTTCTGTACACACCAGCAGATGCCTTTACCATTTTTGTATCTATGGAATTATTACAATAATGCTTTTGAATTTTGTAACTTAAGAATTCAGTGGTAAATTTTAAGGCTTTCAAGTTGAAGTTATTTTTGTTACTATAAAGATACACTGCTATTTGTATTGCTATTCCACTTGATTTTACACAATAAAACAAAGCTGGATTTCCTGAGCTGTTTCTCCTTATGTTTAAGAATGCCATATCACTTGCATGCCTCCAGCTGACACCTCTGTACTGGCTCAAAATGGACCGTGGGCTACATCAACACAATGCAGTCTGAGGTTAGTAAGGTCTGACTTGCAGTATTAGTGAGCTGTCAAACCTCACCTGGTGTCTAGCAGAGGGGAGAAGGGGTTCTAGTTTTCTTTAGGTTGGCACCTTGTAAGATATACTAGCTTTTGAGCATTCAAGTATTGTGCAAGTACAATGCATGGATTCCCTTCTAGTTCTTTTAAAAGGTATAATACTTACCTTCAAGTAAGTCAAGACCTTGATCTGTACCTAGAATATACCATGTGTAGTTAGAAAGTTGTCCAGGAACAAAAAAATGTTCCAACTTTAATCATGGGGCTGTTAATTAACATCATCCACTTAGAAGTAACCTCTTTGGCAAATCTTTAATCTTTACCATCCACCATTTAGGATTCAAGGCGTGTCAGTGGAACTGAGCAAAATGAAGTTAGTGCACTTAAAAGTATTCAGAAAAATCTGAGCACTGTATTAACACCTTTGAAAGAGCTTTCAGTGAAACAAGAATACAGTTTCTGCTGCTTCTCAGTATTCTTTTTTTTAATAAGGAGTTCAGGTTCTAACATTTCTGTATTTCCTGTCAACCTCATTATTCTTTGATGTGCCACTACAGCTGTTAACAGCCAACCTGAGTGGTGGTCTACTGTGATCTGTCTGAGAAGTCAGCAGCAGCACTTAGATCCACAGTCAATCTTCAGTTGTTACATTAAGATATTAAGTGGTTGCTTAAACATTATCTTATGTTTTTGGAAGACAACACTGCTCTTTGGAAGTGAAGCACAATCAGAAAGACATCACTCTGGGTCTTTCTCTTTCCTGTTAGTGGAAAGAGCCATATGTTGCTTGGATAGCTCACGCTCTGCAGCTTCAACAGGCACAGGTCTTCCATTTGCAAGTGGTGGCTAGATAGCTTGCTGTCCTTTAAGGCATCTGGCGATCAGCATTTGGTGAGGTAACAGCTTGTATTCCATACCAGAGGATCCAGTATAAACAGATGAGAATCAGTATTTTTGGTAACTGGCAGTAAGCATCTTTAAATCCCTCAGCCAGGGAGCAAGTTCAATTTAGTGTTTTTGTCTTCACGAGTGATGTTATTCACAAGGTTCATACCCTCGTCTCCTGTAAAGGCAGTAGTGCTGGACCATAAAAACAATATCAAAGATGATGGAGAAGACACCCAGGCCAAACTTGGTTGGATCTCCAAAGATTAACTGCCACTGATCTGTCAAACACAAAATTACAGAGTGAAGACTAATTCCTCAAGTGTAATCTTGTCTCAAGACTACAAGATCATGACATACACAATTAGAGAAGTTCATGTTTATTACCTGGACTGCTTAGATACACCTTAAGACTGACTGTATTGTACATCTTATGCAAAGCTAACTGTTCCTGTGGTTTCTTCAGAATAGCTATTTCGTTTTGTATCTTGAAGCAATATGAACAGATTCTTTATTCTTAGTATAAGAACAGCTACCCATAATACAGCATAGACATCATTCTCCCAAGATAACCTACAGGTTTATATCTGCTTTGTAGTAAGATTCTCCCACCCCATTAAGAGAGGCCCCACCACCCCAGTTCCAGCCTTACCGTTGTTGTATGATTGCAAAAACATCTGGAGAAGGCTGAAGCTTCCACCAGTGAAGTCTAGTAACACATTTCCAATGCTCCACCCGTCAGTACTCTTCCGACGGAAATTCATGTATGCCTGAGAGTGTAACGAGAAGTCAGTCAGCATGTTATGTACAAGCATTTCTGAGACTAACGTTTAAGAAGCCACCTGTACAGGTATACTGGTTTTGTCACTAAAAGACTAATAAATAATCATTGCTGGTTTAGTCAAACTTTCAAGAACATACACTTCAGGCTTAGAGTGACAGTAATACAGCATAAAAGTGTACATTTACCTGTGGAAAATATTTTATCAATGTGACTGCTAACTTGATGTAAGAGAAGCAGAATAAGAACTGTAGCCATGTCATTTCCTCAGCTGCCGCAAGAAACAGTGTTGTAAATGTGAAGATCCATGCAAGTGTCAGTAGTCCAACAACAACTTTGGATACTTTCTGACCTGCTCTCTGAAACGAAAATGCAGATACACTTAGACTGACCTCAGTCACACATCTCCGGACACACTATAGGATACAGAATATGCTGAGGACTGTACAAGGTTACAGCTCAAACCTGTTGTTGTACCAGTTAGGTTGATACCACAAGGAAATTTAAAGATTAAATGAGTGCTACAGCAACTAGCTGTAGCAAGAGCTGATGAGCAATATTCAACAGCAATCATTTCAAACACTATCGTCCATGAGCAAGTGGGAAACAATCTTGTGGCAGTATTCTTGAGTATTTATGCTGCCCGTTATCAGTGCCACATCTGTAACAATCTCCTGAGTTCAGTCTGATGATATCAAGCATTTCTATATATGCAAAAGGCTGCTAATGCCGTTGTGGTAAAAGGTTCATGGTTGCCTTTTAATTCTTCACCAGAAAAGACTATTGCACCTAGCAGTGGTGACAAATGGGCTGTTATGGTTTTAGGATCACCAAAAGAAGCACCCCAAGAAATAAAGAGTTACTATCTAGAGAAAATTGGCTGTTCAGATCAGAGGCTTTTACAATGGGAATTAAATAACCACCTGATTAAACCAATCAGTTTCACATGAAAAGGGGGTGGGAATTATAAAAGGGCCTCTGCAGCAGTTTTGAAAGAAGAGAGGTTGAAAAAAGATGAAAGTCTGGATTGCAGGGAATTGCTGAGGACCTCTCCTAGTTTGAGGGATGCTCTAAGTAGGGAGGAAACAGCAAAGCACATACCAGCATCTGTATTGTGTAGAGCTGTAACCTAAGTGCTAGCTAGAGATCTGCTTCCCTTAGTTATTTTGAGTCCCTAAGGAGTTTACTTGTAAGCTCAGAACATCCATGACGCTGAAGTAGCTAAGCCTACTGGAGTTGCTACCTGCTCAGGAAAGATAAGGCAGCTGGATTGTGAAGCTTGACTTCTAGAAAGGCCAATGGAATTGCAACGCAGAGAGAGGACTTCGGAGCCCAAGAGGAGAAGGTGGTGAAAGGCAAGGTACTCACAGAGGGAGCTCTGCCAGAGCCCAGAGCTGTGACTCACCTCGTAGATGCAGCACTGTATGATGGTGAGCAGAGTCAGGACTACGGCGTGGAGGCTGAAGAAAACATCATTGATAGCCACAGGGTTCACCCCACTGGGATAACTGACTAAGAATTCCTCCTAAACGTAAGAGAAACCAAAACCAGCCAGACGCCTTAATTCACTTCTGTGGATGCCCACCCCCGCTGCAAATATTGAGAGATAATAATGCTTACCTTAATCAAGGGAATCCAGAAGAGTCCAACGTTAAACACACTGTATGCTATAAAGCCAGTAAGGTTTAAGGCTAGAAAGTCAAAGCTTAATCCGACAACACTAGAGAAGGGGAAAAAAAAGGATGAGAAATATGCATCAGAGCATTACAGGCAAGACCACAGAATGTACTGATTTATAGGCAATTTTTGATGTAAGCCAAAGCTGCAGGAATTGTAACAACATGATGCTGAGTTCATCAGGAAGCATGGTGAAATATCGCTCACACAGCTCGCACTGACAAGGTTGTGTCCCTGCTGTTTAACTTCACCCCTCTATGAGCTCCGCTAGTCTGATAAAACCATTCCAGCCTGGATCTACAGAAGCAGCAGCACATCTTTGCCAAAACAAATGCTTTAGTTTTCATATATAGTAATATTTCTACTAACAGTCACTTAGTTTAAGGGCAGCAGGCCTAATGATGACACTACAAGGAATGGTCTGATAAACAGCTCACAAGGTAAGTAAACTTCAAAGGGGGTCACCACAATTGGCTTGGCCAGATGACTTAAAACATGACACCAAAAGGAATGGGCAAGTCTCCTCTATCACAAGTTAGTACTGGAAGCCAAACCTTAGGATTAGGTGTCTGTAGGATGCACTTAGTTTCCTCTGACCTGCATGCATAAACGCTCACTGGGGCAGCATTTATTCAGGCCCCATCTTTGCCTTGCTCTTTTCTCCAGTCCTTCCCTGCATAATTCACAATAACCAAGGTGGTACATGTAACTGAAGCTAAAAACATGATTTGCAGAAGTGCTTGAGTGACTTGCAAACACATCTTAAGTTTCCTTACCTTTTTCGTCGCCAGTTCTCAAAGAGTTGAGGATAAAAGGAGATGGACCAAGCGAGGAAATATATCCAGCCAATCACTTCATCAGCGTATCTCACTATGATGCTGTGGATCACTTGAAATTGTATCCTAGGTCTGATGGTTAACACAAATAGAATTAGTTAATTTGTCTGTTCATACTTTTTTTCAGGAGATTTTGGCTTGTTCTGCTTTGAGAGAGAAAACAGAGTCCAGGAGTTGAGACAAGACAACAAAGATTCAGAGCTGGTTTCAGTTGAGTTGCTCCTCTTTTCTTTCGTGTCCTTGTTATGTTTAGGACATCTCCCACTCCTGTCCTCAACCTGCCCTTTTTTTCTTGCCTCAGTCTTTCCTTTCCACTCTTTTACCATAGAAATCTTCAAAAAGGTTATCTTATGACTATGGCTTCTACTCTCTCAGCACGAGGTCTGTTATGCAAGAGCAGAGTTTCATTTTTCATGTCTGCCAGCAAAGCCTCATGATCATGCCTGTCCTGTTGAGCATTTCATATGCTTACCTCTGCATTTAAAGGTCTTAAAAAGTCTTAAAAGCAGAAGCAAAATGAGGAAGTAAAACAGGAGTATCCTGTTGCTCAGTAGCATCTGAGCAACAAGCAAATACAATCCAGCTTTCTTAATCTTGCTAGACTGTTTTCCTATTAGGGAGGACTGGCACCTGTGAAGAGAGGGCTCCCATAACCAGAAAGCAACACACCTCTATCTCATAGCAGTGATGTGGGCACACAGCTGCATGAGGCTATTAGCACTCCAGAACAAATCCTGCACAGTAAGAACAGTATCCCACTGGACATTTACAACCAAACGCCTCCTGGATCAGAAAAGCTGACATGTAGTTTTGATTCTTTTGAGAGGAGTTATTAAAAGCAGACTAAGGAGCCATGAGAACTCACCATCATCTAGTAATGCAATCTAAGATACCAAGATTATCACTCTGCTTCCATACCCTGTATTTATCTGAATACCTTGGGGATTGCTGGAGGGTCACCACATCTTCTCAACTACGTACCACCCATGTCCCATTAACTATTTAACTATAAGAAGAGAATAGATATCCCAAAGTTTAGGAAGCTGTAGGATAGTAAGCAGAACTAAAAAACAGTTTCTCACCCGGTTAAATTGGAATTAATGGTATAAAGATAAACTGTTACTTGTCCAACATCATCCGCTTTCACTTGGAAGTCTGTTTTGATGTGACCAGCAGGCAATTGTACCTGCAAGGCAAAGCAGAGGTAAGAAAGAGGAGAGTTGCACCATACTAGCGGGAGGCTTTTGTGTAAGGTCAGAAGTCTGTTCTGTCACTTACTTCATCAGGCAGTTCAACAATAGTGCTGTGTTTTGATGAGTGTGTAATGTTAAGAGTTATCACCAGTGTCTTATTTAATGGAGCCCTGTGAAGGCAGAAAAAACAAGTTAGACCAGTGCCCAAGTTCACAAAGACTGCTTCAGAGCTGCAGGAGAGTATCTGCTAAATCCTCACAACTGTGGCAAACATGATGAACAGTCCATATACAACTCCACCTACTTAGTACTCAGAGGAACACCAGCACCAAGGTATGTTAGCCTTGTACTATTTCTTTTATCTGAACCAGTGATGGGTAGTAGACAGCTATTTTGCCACGTTTTATCTCCCTCTTCTCCACACAATTGGCCAAGCAAAGTCATTGCCACCAGGATCTTATCATTGTGCTTGTTAACCATTTGCTGGTAAAGACGGGCAGAAATGATGAACACGTACTTGGGTGATGAAGGGCAGAAATTGTGGCACTACAGTAAGATAATACCAAAAACCCCTCAAAAAATAAAAACCCTCCAAGTCACATGGTCGTGCACAGCTTCCTCAGAGAACTTCACTGAGCAGTTGTCCAGGAGGTTTAATTGCACAGCAGTACTTGGAATATCATAAGGTTCAAACGCCTGTACTCTATGAAAAGATTAGAGTACCACATCTTTCTTTGCAAAAACAAAAGTTCTAGACTGTTGCAGCTATGTTTTTCCATTTTTACCACAATTCTTACGTTTTCCTGTGACTGCTTCCTTTACTTTGAGATCCCAAAGAGGAGGGGTGCATGTGTTTAACAATCCTTTCCTGGGAAGAGGCTGACATAGCAAAAACATGGGTAAACAATGCACTCTGCTAAACAACGAGACTAAGGCACATCAGCACCCCCCTGGAGTAGCTGCATTTCTTTTCTGGAAATGGCAAGTTCTGTTTGCTTGATAAAGTTTTTTTTTTGGGGGGGATCCCTCTAAGAAATGCATGTTTCTCTTATGCATCAAGTTTTAGAAATGGAGGACCTGTAAGTTCACTTATGGAAGATAGTTCAGTAAGCTAATATAAGGCAGACAGTACAAGACATCTTTTCCTGCTCAACTTCCCATACAAATGGCATGGGATATTGTTAGGGACCAACCATGGAAGGCAGTTTGTGAGAATGCTACACTATCTTGGTCTGTACTGGTACTAAGTGATGGAATAGTCTAGAAGTGGCCAGTCACACCAGTAAGATTCACTCTGCATGAACAATGAACTGAGTCTGCAGGAAAGTCTTAAGTGCATAGCCAAGTCCCACCCACTTTCTTGTCCCCCGTTCCAAAGAGAAAGTAAAGATGCAATCATGACTTAACCTCAGAGAGATGGTGACGTTTGTTGAACTTCCATTTTCTAACGAAACCACTTCAGGGACAGACAATACAATGACTTCATCTAGGGAGAAAAAAAAAACAAAAAACAAATAACCAAAACCCCACACGAATCTCAATTGCTGTGAATGATGAATAGCTACTTCAGAAGAACTATCTGCTTTCTTTTGTGATGTAGATGTTTTGTCCATTGGTACCTGCAGTGTAAGGTTAATAAAATTAGCACCCATGATAAACAGCAAAGGGACTGCAGCTTATTTTAAGGTGACTTAACAACTGAAAGGAGAAGTAAATAACTGTCACTTAAATGTATTACAAGGAAGCAATTTAAATATTTGAAGTGTAACAAAAGTTCAACCAATACAAGGCTGTAGGATACTTCAAACCCACACTAATTGTTTCTTGATGTGATCCTAGTAACTTAGGGGTCATAAACACCCAAAATTCAGTTTAAAATTGCTTCTTGGGCCACAAATTCAAACTAGGTATCCAGATGTTCAAGAGAATGTACATTTACTATCTTAACACTTCAGGAATCATAAGCACCGTGCTATAGAGCTCTGAAATATATACTGCTCTGAAATATTGCTACTAAGGGGTCAACTTTACAATAATCCAGCTATGTTATACCACATCATGTGTTAAGAGAGGCTGAGATTCCATGTGCCAATACAACTGATATCAAAACAATACGCTGGCCACGTGTCAACAATTTTGACATTTGGAATCCAAGTCTGTTTTATTCACTGTATGTTTAAGGGACACAAGAGACAAAAGGAAGAACAAATTGCTATATAAAAATAAGATGAGAAACGGACAGATAAACAGGTTGCCCTGGATGCTTTTTCTCCTTGTCGCCATAGATGCTTTTTTCCTTGTTGCCATGGATTACGCAGTGTTCCTAAGAAGCTATTTAAGTGCAGGATAGCTGCAATCACTGACTGCCCCCCAGGCAGTGCTCCAGCTGCTGATGCAGAGGTGAGTTTGGAGCACGAGGCGAGCGCTCCGTTCCATCAGCACCTCGCAGCACTGACCGTGGATGAGCACAGCGAGCCAAGGAAGAGCTGATGGATGGGAAGCGTGGCACAGGTGTCCGAGGAAAGGCGTGAGGGGGACACTGCAGAGCCGCCCTCCTCCATCCACCTCTCACCCGTTCAGCCCTGCCCGGGGCGCCCAGGCTGGGACGGGCAAACACTCACCGCCAGGCCCCGGCAGCACCGACAGGCACAGCAGCGCGGGGAGCGGGTACGGCATCCTCATGGCGGATGAGCTGCAGGAAAAGCGGGGAGAAGGCTTTGCTCGGGACCCGCACGCTTCGCGGGAGCACC